AGTACCCCAATCAAGTCCAACAGCTTTCAATTTATAACCAAACCAAGACACTAGTTCACCACTTCAGTCATTTCTTTCTACAACTCTATTACAAACACAAACTATTAATATCTATCATCATTATAATAGTCTACTTCACAAATAMCATTATAGCATTATCAGCCAAACAGGAATAAGACTCTTCAAAACTTCAAATGAGAACCGAACTCGATGATCAAAGGCAGTGAATATGGTAAAATATCAGATGATGTAGTGAATATCATGGGTACCAAAGTCAAAGGCAATAAGTCAAAGCAAAATCCATAATTGAATTTTAAAAGACAACACAGCATTAAAATCTTCAGTCAGTTAATAGTTCTTCATCTACCAATATCTGCAGCCCAAAGACTCCTTCTCCGTCGTACATCTTTATAAACCATATTAGCATCATTTCTTCGACTGACTCTCAGACTTTCCACCCCAAAGAGTTGCAAACTAGCAGCTATTCCATCTCTCCTCCTGCATTGACATCACCAGAACCAGATAGTTGTAAACACCCCAAAGGCTCAAGTCAAGTCATTTCGACATCTCTTTTACATGTTTGGAAACAATAACATTTTTTCTTCAACTCAGAGAACCGGACTTTTAACCTCAAAGCGCTCCAATCCAGCAGTTCTTCCATCCATCTCTTCCCTCTTGCATATGCTACGTCTTTGCTACTAGATAGTTGTTTACACCCCAAARGTTCAAGTCAAGCAGATTTCCAGATATCATTATTTCTTTAACTAACACGTTTCAACCCCAAAAAGCTTCAATCCAGACAACAGCTTTGCTTTTTAGGCATTACGACTCTCATCTTCTAAGTTCAGCTTCTTCCCACCCCAAGTTCTCAAGGTCCTCTACTTCTAAAGTTTAGGTCTCGTCAGCAAGCTTCTCCAGCACACCAAACTTCTCCACAGAAATTGTTTGCCCAACATATCTCTAAATACCAAACTGAACAAATCACAGCATCTTCCAAGGGTGTTTTGCAATATTCCAATGCCAGCTTCATGCCTCTCTTTGCCTCTGTCCAAAATTACAAGATATGCTGCCACAATTTCAAAAACTTGAAAGTTCAACGAGAACTTTTTGTGCCAGTGTATTAAAATCAACATCAATAACAGTATCCAAGAACAAAGTGTGTATGAGTGAGRACCAAAGTTGTAGACAGTGTGAATGGTAGTGAAGCAAGACACTYAACCAAACCTATCCAAACGCACATCAATCTCTCTGCCGTCAAATGACACACCRTTAAACATCGCTGTATCAATGTTAAGGAACATTTATATATATTAAAATATTTGAGATATGACATCTGTGATTTATTGTTGATCAGCTCAGAGGTTGTTTCAGGGTTCTATCTGTGAGTTAGCCGTGCCCTGACTTAGATCMGCCCAGAGGTTGTTTCAGGGTTTATTSTGTGAGTTAGCTGTGCCCTGACTTAGATCAGCCCAGGGGTTGTTCCAGRGTTTGGTCCAGAGATTGTTTTACGGTGTGATATTTGAGTTAGTTGTGCCCTGACTTAACCAACTCAAGAGGTTGTTTTGAGKTATTGATGAGGGAATCAAGATCATTTAGTTTTTTTAAGAAAAGGATACCAATAGCCCTCTGCGCTTCTTCTTGTGTATCAAACACCACAATACCACAGCCCTTTGATCGTCCACCAGTCTCAGTCAAAATATCAGCACGACTTACATTACCTAAAATAGACAAAAGATATGGTTACAATATGGTTATTGTACAACCTCTCCCAACACATGGTTTTCTTTCATTAAGGATATGCATACCTGCAGCACGGAATTTATCCTTGAGGTCCTGCCATGTGTACTTCCATGGAAGCTGTGTTTGTATTTATAATCAAAACAAGTATTAAGCTGAGTAGTAATACCTTAGGTTGCCTTCCCAATAGATGCCAAGCTGATACACGGCATTTTATATATATSATATGATTGCAAGTTATATGCTATTATATAACAAGCTATTTTATAGTTAGAACTGTATGTGCGTGCTGATTGGTCGAAAACTGTGCTTTAGTAGCTTTATAATGGAGCACAGTGCTGATGCCATTCACGTGCACCAAGTGCTGCGTACRTGAATTCAGTACCAAAATAAAATATATCACTATATGATGAATTAAATAAAACAGCTCTTTTAGTGCTCCGTTCGGTAATATAGCACTTAGGAAGCACCGTAAGCACTTCTCCTTACACTTCTTTTGTGCTTACGTCACTTCCTGCGTGCTTTATTACTGAACGGAGCATGGAAAAAGCTGTTTTTCAAGATATCATGTGATGCAGAGCTAAAGATATTGGTCACTTATTGGACAATGTACAGCAAGAATTGGAACTTGTTCCGTCAAATCTTTGCCTTTCCAGTAACTTTGACTAGTAACATCAAATCTGAAATGAGGTATAGCTGTGTTTAAGCTAATTTGGTCAGTCATCATGACCAACGACTAGACTGACTGGCTTTAATGAAGACAATATTGTACTTACATTCCTGACAAATATCTGTTTCCCTGAACTAGAATCACTCTGTGTGGAGCCACCTACTCCCATGCCATAGCTAGTTGTACCATAGTTAGTGGTGCCATAGTTACTAGTGGCTGTTGTACTCCCAAGCTGGTTCATCATACCACTAAGGTTACTGAGAGCAGCAAGGTTGGCTGTATCCATCCCCATGGCACTTGCACTACCTGCACTACTCGTAGAAGGCATTGCCGACATTCCACCATATGATTGGTTGGCTGTAGTGCTACCAAGGTTACCAAGGTTACCTAGGTTAGTGTTTCCTAAGTTGCCACCGAGATTGCCGAGCTGAGCCAAGGCTGTGAGCCCTTGAAGGCTTTGAAGGAGGTTTAGGATTGCTACTTGGCTTCCTGTGGCTGCAAGTGGGTTGACTGAAGCTTGACTTGATCCTCTTGATCCTCCTTGGGTGGCATTGCGATCCTGTTATATTAATAGTATTCATTTTAGAAGCACAGTTAGCGTGACCTTGGTAGCGYTTTGATTGGCTGATAAAAACTATCCAATTACTGAGTAATTAGATAATTTTAGATMTCCCAAGAAAAATGCGAATGGAAACGATCCAAATTAATCTTAAATTTGGACAGGAAAAAGAATTTGAAAATAATGCAATAGTTGCTTCTATGGGATTATAGAGTGAATATTGGTCGGGAGCGCATGCTTTATGAGAGCACACAGCACGCACGTGCACTTTCAATTTCGTCATTTATRTAATTTGTATTTTATAAAAGAAATAAAAAACTTGCTTGCTGTACTGTGTGTAGTATATGTGTGTAGTATAAAGCACTTGGGGATTGGCAGAACACTCAAGAAGTGTTGAGAAGCACTCCGCTACGCATCGTGCTTCTCTCGTGTTCTGCCAACCCCGCATGCTTTATAACTGCACACAGAACGCACACATGTTTTCTATTTCTTCATAATTCATTCATGGACATGTGTTATACATACCATCCTCACTGTTACTGTTCTGTCCATTATCATTTGACCATTCAACAGCACTAAAAGCTCAGTCAAGGAAATTACTTATTATAACAATATACGTATTAATAGAATACTATAAAATCTAATAACAAGGAAACGTAATCACCATGGGGGAGGGGGTGAGTATGGGTGAGAAGAATGRCACCCATGACAGGATGGAATGTTACTGTAATGTAAAGGATACTGACAGCATTCATTGCTTCTGTTGGAGTTTCAAACTGTACTGTTCCATACCCTTTGGACTTGTGATTATCATCCTCTTTTACATTTGCTCTTACAACATTACCTTAGGGAGAAAAACAATAATTATGATCATAGTATAATCATCACCACCACGTCACCACCACCATCATCATTATCACCCCCAACACTATTATCACCCCCACCACCATCACCAACACCACAGGGGTGGATCCTGGGGTGCCCAAATTTCTTAGTATATCTTTATTAACAATCAACCCCTTTTCCTTGAATTCCTGGTAAAGCCTTCGTAATAGTCACCCCCTCTAAAATTCCTGGATCCACCCCTGCGCCATCACCATCACCTTCACCACTATCATCCCCACCATCACTATCAACACTACCACACCACCACCACCATCATCATCACCACCACCATCATCATCACCATCATCGCAATCACCCCACCATCACTATCAACACTACCACACCACCACCATTATCATCATCACCACCACCATCATCATCACCACCACCATCATCATCACTACCACCATCATCATCACCACCACCATCATCATCACCACCACCATCATCATCACCATCACCCCACCATCACTATCAACACTACTACCACCATCATCACCATCACCATCCCCCCCACCATCACTATCAATATCTGTACCACCACCATCATCATCATCATCATCACGACCATCACAATCAAACAATAGCCAAATATATTTGAGGGAATTAATGTAGTGTAGTGGTAAGTCACAAAAACCCTCTGTTGYCATATCTTTCCTTGCTATACAATGGCACATGTTTGTCAATATTACCTGCAGCTTTGAAAGCATCTTTCAACTTCTGCCAATTCACTCTGAAATCCAGCTTCAGAAAAAAGGGAAAAGAAAGATAAAYACATACAGTCACATTTTGCTAACCTGGTGGTGGTTATATTCGTAGTCTTACGCGCCTTAAAATAACGGCTAAACATCCAACAACATCAGGCCAGAACTGGCCAGAACTTGTCCAGTCAAAGCTTTGCCTGGCCAATCATTTTAACCAGTAACGTTGAGCCAGAAATGAGGTAGGACTTAAGCTTAAACTAATTTGGACTATGATAATGATCAGCCACTATTCGACCGTTATTTTAAGCCCTTGCCTTAGCGCTTCTACTTGTAACTTTTTACTAAACACTTACATTGCTGACAAAGACTGTGCAGGCTGAGGGATCATTCTTGTTAGCCATACTCCCWGTGTTCCCAAGGCCCAGCAGTGCTGGTAAACCACCTAACCCTGGTAGGCCTTGCAGCCCTTGGAGTGCATTGCTTGTAGTTTGCTGACTACTCTGGGCAATAGTATTACCACGAAGCCTTGATCTATGCATTCTGCTGTCTTCCTCTACACGATCCTGTGAGGGGAAAAAAGTCATCATATTACTCACATTTCTGAAGATATTTACATTTACTTTTACATTTACATTTAGCAAACATTCCAAAAAGCATAATATCACAAAACTTATGGAAGGATACATCTATCTTTTGAAATAACCTCTAGACTGATCTGATTATAAGTCAGGGAATAGCTAGAGCTCTCATAGATATATCTGAACGCTGAAACGACTTATTGACTGATCATAGCTAACTCACAAATCAAATTGACATTTATATGGTTAGGCTTTGTGAAGGAAAGTAAACGAGAGAACATGCAGAAAACAAGACTAAAATTCAGGGCTTAAAATAAATGTGGGTATGTCGCCGGCCATGATGGCCAGCCAAGTTAGTTTTAGCTTGGTCATACAGTACCTCATTTCTGGCTAAAGGTTACTGGTCAAAATGACCAGCAAGGCAAATTGACCAGACCAGTTCCAATTCTGGGYGGACACTGTCTAATGTCCGGCCGTTATTTTAAGCCCTGAAATTGAACCTGAGACCCCAAGGTGAGAAGTGAATACTCTACCACTAGGCCACCCTTGATTCCCCTAGACACATGAAAGAGAGTAGGAAAATATGAGATGTTATTTCACTTTCAAAGACCAATACTCACCTCTCTSACTTGTAGTGGACGTCCTTGGAAGTCTTGTCCATTATATTGTGTGATGGCTTTCTGTGCATCTTCCTTCTCCCTGAATTCAACAACCCTGCAAGTATTTGTGGAAATCATTAATTATTGATTACATTAATTATAATCAAAATAATGTTAGTGTCATATCACAGAATGTAGGTTCTTTTGCTGAGAAATATTAATTAAAAAGAAGATATTCTTTATTCACCAGCAAATATTAAAATTCTTTGCTGTTGAGCAAAAAATACCTTATTTTTGAAGTGAACCTTTTTTTAAATAACTTTTTATTTTTGAAAKTCTTTCACCTCCTGACCAGTAGTACTTTTTCATATGAAATTACACATTAAACTTCAGTTTTATTGAACTCTGAAACAACCACTGGACTGTTCTAAGTCAAGATGTTTTTTTTAGATGAAACAGAATATGTAGTTCCAGATATTATCCTTAAACCACCCCTCTCCCCTCCAGAGGATTTTCCCAAAGACCCCCTTGTTCTTTTTCTGACCCCCCCCCCCCCACTCAAGGAAATTCCAAATTCCTAGAGGAGATACAACCCTTAGAGGTGATAGAACCCTTTGAGTATTTCATCTGCTGTCAAAACAAAGACAACTGTATAGCACTACAATTATAAGTATACTGATAAACATGTGAAGGAAGTCAAGCTTTTTGATTGGTTGGATTGTTGACTGCATTGCATAGAGTACAGGCTAAATATCTTYATACTGGATGAGATGTTATATCATAGTTGATATACATACCCACAGCCCTAAAACAAAGAGAAGAAACTACTGTTAATACCTTTTAGAAATCAAAAAAATCAATGCTAGTACAAAGTAAGTTTATTGCTTATCTATTAATATTGTGACATATGAAGATCCATAATTACCAATGAAATATCTATTTTTCTCTATTTCGAAAAATTGATATCTTCACACGTGAAAATAACATATTATTTTCACGTGTGAAAATAACACCATTGCAATGGCTATTCAAAAACACACCGAAAGAATTGCCTGAAAAAGCAAAACATACTTCATTGATAATTTTATAATAAACAGAATATTACATGGCTGCTAGGAGATAGCAATTTTATCTTCTCGTGTCGAAAATCTCTCTTTGAGATCTTTTCTTTGCATTGGACTCGGGGTCGAYGTCCAAGGCCTGGCCTTAGCATTATTTTTTTTTAGTATTATAAATTAGCGTTATATTTTATATTTTATTAGTATAGTACTAGTATTTTACTTAAATTATATTTATTATTGTATGGATTTTATCAGGGCTCCTATTGATAACATTATTTTATGTAACTGTGAGGGCTACCCTGTATAAATAAAGGTTCATTCATTCACTCGAAGATAAAATTCGTATCTCCGTGYGCCCATGTAATATCCTCTATTTATCACATGATACATTGTGTCTGTATAGTCATGACAATAGATGATATAGATGGTAATGGGGACAATGATGATGTTGATCAATGATAATGATGGTGATAATTTTGAGTGATTTTCGTTTACTGTGTGAATACTCCAACCAGGACCACTTCGATAAACTAGTATCATTAACCAATCACATTGTGACATTGAGCTCAATACTTTTGACCAGCCAATCAGATAGCACATCGACATAATGAGAGCGTGAGAACATGATAATCTGATAGACTAACACATGTTATCAGTTCAATCTCTGTCTGGTTTAYTGTTATCTGATTGGTCAGTTTTCTTCAAGTGGTCCCGTGCCAGTTGGTGCGTCTGCACAGTAAGTCCCCTTTAAGTATTATGATCCAGTGAGTCAAATAACAAAGTTTGTCATCAAATCCCCACAACATGTCTACCTCCCCCCCCTAGGGCTTAGATTGATCAGTGTCATATTGCCCGGAGTAGTCAATCGATAAAAATCGATATTGATTTTGCCAATCGATAAATCGATAACAATGGATACCGCTGATTTGATTGATATTGATTGTATCTATCAATCGTTAAAAATCGAACTCACACTAAATTTTTGTATCGATTTTTATCGATTGATTGATTATATACATAACGATTTTTTTCGATTTATGTCTTGAACAATTTCTATCGATGATCGTATGAAGGCCRTGTGGCTACGGATTTACACCACCGGAAATTACTCTTTCRTAACCATAGCTTGACACTAACTAGGAGTTTGTTATAGTGATCAGTGAACAGACAGCAAAAGTACTTGGATAATTAGCTGCCTGATCTACATATTATTACTTGTGAATTAATAGTTATAAAATCTATTGCACTATCATCGATATTTTCAAATATTTTCCGTGAAATAAAGCTGATTATATGATTGTACTAATTATTGGATCRAATTAAAGCTGTCAAATCTTGATCGATAAAAATCGATTAAATCGATAAAAATCGAACTCACACCAATTTTTTTAAATCGATTTTAAACGATTTCCCATAAAAATCGATACAAATCAGCTGATTTCTATCGATTTTTATCGATTGACTACTCTGGGCATATTGGTGTTCTCAAACTTAGCTTACCTTTGATCTGCCTTTTTCATCTTCAAATATTTCAACGAATGAAACTTCACCAACTAAAGAAATTAAATTTCATACAATCAAAATCTTTTTAAAAAGTACTGAAACCCCACTGTATTAGTAACCTGTTTCACATACAAAAATAATGAAAAATATTACAATTTAAGCTCATTATAAGCTCTCCAAACAATACATATACCGGAYATCTGAATATGATAATTGTGCTTTAAAGAATAAGCGTTCTCCTGCATAATTTGTGAACTAAATGATGACTATAAATCTTAGCATGTGATGGGGGGAAAAGCGTTGCTTCATCTAAAGCAATYATTCATCAACTATTGAAAGTTTTATTCACCTTTCTTCATGTAATCCTTCAAATCTTGCCAGCGGACRTTGTAAGGTATATTCGAGACATAAACCCGATAGTCTTTTAAAGCACTGGAAGACACACGGCCCTTTGAGCGGCTGGTCGAGTAWGGAGTGAAGCGTCTGTTCTCTCGATCACTTCGCAAGTCGCGTTCAAAACCTCCTCTTCTTCGTCCCTCGCTTTCCTCCTGGTCGCTATCTTTGCTTTCTTCTCGTTGTTCTCTTGTTTCTGTATCATTTGTAGCAGTATATGTGGGGGTTGCTTCGATCCCCAAGGAATAAGCTGTAGAGTAAGTCATCCCTAAAGGCAGCTGGTGTTCTGTCGTTTGATCCGCCATCTTGAAAGACAAAGYAAAAGAAGAAGAAGGTGTATCCCACAAGACCATGCGGGTCTATCTAACAATTACTTTACCTACCCTCCCGTCCCCTAGTATCCTTATTTTGTCATTCTTTCTTTCTCTCTTCTTTTTATGACCCCTTTTTTATTCATTTTTTTCATTTTACACTATTGCAGGTTTTTCATACGAGCATGTTCTTTATTCAAATTAARATTTTCAGCAAAAAATGACTATATCAAGCCCACTTTTATTTAAAAAAATAAAACAAAATAATATAGTTTTGGCTATGTTTGCGTTATAAATTTTTCAGAAGCATATTCTGATCTTATTTAAGATCCAGAATGATCAATGGAACAAAAAAACACGACCTATTTTAAGACTGGTTTGCATATTGCTGTAAATTCTTTAAAAAAGATTTATCTAAAAAGTGGGCTCCCTGTGGTACTGAAGCATGTCTTTTGCCCGCGGGATTTGAGATTCGCAACCTTCAAATGCATCTAAAAAACGTCTAAATACAAACGTTTCCTCTACTTGCTTCCTTTTCTCTTCTATACAACAATATTCAGAAAATCTAAGGTGGTTTAACTACGCTTCTTAAAGTGAGTATGAACATCTAAATAAACCTAAGTTTTTATGACCTTTGGCATTGAACTTTTAAGTCCATTCTCACTCAAACCTTGAATTTAAACAGATTGTTAAAAACAATTAGGTTTTTCTTCGGTATTTTTTACCTCTAGAATCAATTTTAGCCAATTTTTGCATCACTTACGAGGCTGTATGCTGTTTGTTTTGTTTACGACATTGTCAAAGTTCACCTTGACTTCAAGCCAAGTTTCAGTTCAGGGTTGATGCATTTTACTCAGAATTTTTTTTATTAATAGCTTCACATTAAGTTCCAAGAAGGCCTTTTAACACAACATCTAACCCAAGATTTTATTCCAGTGGAGGAAACTAGAATATCTTTCCGCTGTTGTTGATGATATCTGGAAAAAAGAGTTGGTGGYCAATATTGGGTACTACACTGTAGCTAAACTATCTCCTCTTTGGAGCTAAAAAAAAGCAGAATAATAGTAAAATGGCATGGTGAAATATAAAGAGAAAGTTATTTACTGGGTTACCAGGTAGTAGCCACCCCCATCAAAATCATCCTGGATTGACATCCACTGGATTTCACAGCTCTCAATAAAATGTTTATGGCTTAYTAACTTTACTTGTTTGCATGCAATTTTTGTTTACAGGTCTAGTTTATGTGTGATATACATCAAATGAAGGTATGAATCATCAATAAACTCATACATTTTTGAGGATTGATGTAAAGCTTCATTCATATGCTTACTGGCCTTTGTAATTTGAAACCTTGTACTGAAAGCAAAAGCTATGATTGCGTTACAAGAAATCCTAAGCTTTTGCATGCAATAGATTTACTAYCTCCTAGCCTGTAGTATGGTATTGTATGTACATCAGATCTCTTTAGCTTTAGCATCTTACATTTTCCCATTTCAGACTATATACTTTCTYTGAAGTATCATTTCTTTGAATAGTTGCACCAGAGAGGACAAATGAATATGGATACCAACCAAACAAAGAATCTTATTTTCATGAGAATGACATGTGGTCTGGAATACAAAAACATCATACCCAAACTAAAAATATTTAAATAGATGTTCAAAGTTTCTGCTTTGGGCCACACCCCCTTTGATTGACACATTTCTTTTCAACATCACTGAATAACTCTTTTTGGTCTCTATAGGAAATATGGATTGAGGCTTTCATATTTCCATTTAAGATGAGGTTATAAAATTACGAGAGAATAATGGCTGAGGGTTTTACAAGCTCTCGCAGCAAGCGTCAACCAAAGAAGAGAGCACTAGATGATAGAAGTTCTTCATTAGACAAGCGTTACAGAAGATGTGAAAACAGTGGTTGTCCTTCTGAAAGACCAGTGTGTTGCKCAGAACTGAGCAATGGGTAATACTAATTATAGACCCTTTGACCTTGGGTTCAATTTTAGATCATGTGTCATTCCCTAGAGTATATTAATTTCTTGGTTTAGAAGTTGCGCAGAACTGAGCAATGGGTAATAATAATTATAGACCCTTTTACCTTGGGTTCAATTTTAGATCATGTGTCATTCCCTAGAGTATATTAATTTCTTGGTTTAGAAGTTGCGCATGAGAATACACATGAAAWCAATATAGATGCAACTTAAACAAAGACTCTTGCTCTCAAGAGAATCATACATGGAATGAAATAATAAAGCATTATATGCMCAAGGTAAAAGGGGTGAATATCTTAGAGATGGCAAATTTTCATTAGGTGATTAACAAAAATCATTTTGACTTGTTTCTTTAATTGAATTATTATGTGGAGTCATTTTTGAATTGTGAAAGGGGTTATTGAAATAATTTTTTTAATTTGAAAATGTTTTAGCCTGTTTCTTGAAGTCAGGTTGATCACTTTGGGGAGTTATATATCCTAGGTACATCACTCAGGCTAGAGCCATATAAATAATAGTATTTTGGTGTTACTATTTGCGAACTCAGATCTTAGAGTGAAGTCATTAAACCTGTGAAATAGATGTTAGACTAATACACTTTAGTAGACCCTAATTTCATTGTTTTCTTTTGTGTCTTTTTGACAYGTTGGCTAGTATTTTTTATTTCATAGGTTAAATGCCTTCGCTCTAATGTTCTTCTTATGGTGTTGTTACTATATGTTTTAATGAATTGATGGTTGTTGTGGTAGGTGYACTGGTGATGGGTACACATCCAGATGGTATCACATATCTAATGGGGAGCAYTTCTGTAATGCATGTTTTGATCACATGTATCGAAGGTTAGTTACTGAATTAATTATTATTATTATTATTTATTATTATTATTTATTTTATATATATTATTATTTTTTATTGTCTTATTTTTTACAGTTTTGTTAATACTGAGAGAGTTACCCTGTTTAAATAAAGGAATCTATCTATCTATCTATGTCTWTAGTTCTCTTTCTCATTCATAATGCATACCAATATGTTTGAAAACCACCAGTCACGCACATATGCATGTTTAGCCTTGTTTGTATGTTAGCTAAAAGTCTGTTAGAGTCAAAAGCAGCTGCAGTAAGACTTTGATCAGCCTAGCAGTTGTTTTACTGGATCAATAAAAGTTGAAAATATTTTAAAAGTATTTCGTGAAATCTGAATATGGAAGCAAAAGGGGCAATATGGAGATATTACTATTTAATAACAAAATACTAATATTATCTGTACTGTCCAGTCATAAAGATGGTTATGAAGCATATGCCAAGTGGAAGTTTGAATGGGGTGGATATTGTCAACGAGAGGCCAGCACGAAGACCTAYGTTGCTGAAACAGTGATGGCATATTGGGTCAAGTGTAAGAAATGTGGTAAATGGCGGTCACTTCCAAGGACTGAAGGAGACCTAACACCTGATCTGGCTAAAGAGTGGTCCTGTAAGTCCTTTACGACCAGCAAAAAGGTAATTGAATTAACAAAATTAATGCGTTTTATAAGTTAATGTGCACCTGGTCKTGTATTGGGCTTCCTGTGTTGCATTTATCCACAGGCATCCCAGCCTTGATAAAATTGATAGGTGACATGACTATTGAAGCAACTTTGGCTGCATTATCAAATATATGTGTTGTAAAAGAAATAATCACTAGTTATATTAATTTGTTTATTCATTCATTCCATCCCTTAATTCATTCCATTCCTCCCATCATTCCATTATTTTTCATTTGTTTGTTTATTCATTTATTTATTCCTTCATCCATCCATTTTTTTTATTATTCATTGATTTATTCATTYTTACATTCCTGCATCTATTTATCCATCCATTCATTCATTCATTCACTTGTTTTTCATTCATTTATCCTTCCATTCATTCATTCATTTGTTTGTTTGTTCATTCATTCATTTATTCTCCAGCCATCCATCCCTCCCTCTTTCCCTCCCTTTCTTCCTTCCTTCCATCCATCCTTCCATCCTTCCTTCCTTCCTTTCTTCTTTCTTTCTTTCACTTAATATTTGTGCTTATGTAGGCAAAAGCAAAAGGACCTCATCCATGTGATTTACCAGAAGATGAGGTTAGTCTTTTACATTTTATTGCATTTAATCACTTTATCACTTTATTAAAAGCTGTAGAAAAGGGGTTTCTAACAAATGGAGGGTCAATAATACAAATTATTAAAAACTCTAGGATATTCTATCAAGTTGTTTAAAAACATGTAGTACATGTACTCAATAAATATTTTAAAGCTTTTAATGATTTTTATCTTTCTCTCTGTTAATTATTACCAGAGGGTTTCAGGAGCATCAACACCAGGATGGCTATTAAGTCTATTTGAACCTCCTCTGCTTAAGAACAGCCCTGCTACTCAGTACCTGAAGACTTACTTTCCAGATGGGGTGGGGCTCTCGCCTGTGCTTAATGATGACAAAGAGAAAATTGAGACCAACACAAATGGTTCTTGTAGTACAGGTTTGTTGAAACCAATTTAAAGCTAATTAGTTGTCAATAGAGGGGTTTCACAGCAGCTTTGATGAAGAAAAAAATGATAGACTGAAATTTTCTCCCTGGAGAAAATGGAAACTTGAATTCAAATAAAGACATTGTCCATAATATGGATGCTGTGAAACCACTGTGTAGGACATTCTTCAGCTCAAATGGCATAAGAGTCACAGCCAAATGGGCTATGAAGTATTATCTGTGCTTGTGTATGTTGTTATGCTCATGCTTGCATAAGCAAGGGCGGATCCAGGGAGGGGGGAGCTGAAGCCCACATTCAGCAGAAAAACAAAACAAAACAAAACTGAACCTTTTTTTTTGTTTTCCATTATGTTGACGGAAGAAACTCAATCAGCCCTCCCCTAAAATTTTGACTGGATTCGCCCTTGATAATGAYGCTGAAAACCTATTATGAAATGTCTTTTGATTTTGAAATTTTGAATGCAGGATATCTACAGCCATTCTACAACCCCGATATTGGTGAATCAGCTTTTACTTTTAGACCAGACACCATGGAACAASAAGAAGAGGCCTATTTTCCTCATTTTGCTTCAACAAGGTAAAAAAAAGAATATTTAAAAAAAGTATATTCGTACAGATGTAGCATGGGTGGCAATGATGCTAGTGCATCATCTCTCATCACTGTGTTGCCAAAGGTTCGTGTCACTCCTTGGAGCCCTGCAGACACCATATGTGAATTTAGTTTATTTGCTGTGTTGTTCTCTCCTATGATACAAGGGTTTTTCTTCGGGTTCTCTGGTTTCCTCCCTCTGTAAAAAATCAGCATGTGAGTTGAGCCTTGTGTGTATAGAATGTTTGTTCRATTCATCCAAGATGGCAGGTGTGAAAAAAAGGCAATGCAAAAATGTTTTTAGATTTGTTGCAGAATACGTTCTTAACAAAGCTATTGTTGGTCAAGTTAGAAATATCATTTCCCTTGCATATTTTTCAGAGAAGCATCAATAATCTACCTCACGCTGAGGAATCTAATACTAGCACTATGGGCATCAGGGTGCAAGGTATGAAAAATGGCTTGAAATTCTGACAAATGATAATAATAATAATAATAATAATAATAAATGATATAATAAT